GATGTTAGAAAATCACAGATAGAGGTCAGTCTGCATATTTGAGGGACTGATCAAAAGCATCAGGGTTTGGGAGAGAAGGGAGCAGTGAGGCAGAGGAGCCTGAAGTAGATGAGAAGAAAGTAATGTACTGTTTATGGTTATAGAGAGAAAAACATAACTTCAGTCTCCATTAGTTTCCATCCATTTCACCGTCACTATATGTAAAGTAAAACACGCAAGCAATTCTTTCAGTGGCCTCAGTTTAACAAGTTAGAATAGGTTTTACCTTATGTAAAAGTATATCTACTTCATTAGTAAAGAAAATTGACAAAGAATAGTATAATATAAGGGAATTTGGTATGTTCCTTATTTTTATAAGGTGTTTTTTCTGTTACTTTTGTAGTCATTTTTTTTTTGCTGTTTTATACACAGATAGGGATCAGGGAGTTAATACCAATAAAAAAATAGATTTTTTTTTTCTGGTCACATATTTTCTGTGATTTTATGCTTTTAATCTTGTTTCTGCTGTGTGTAATTCACATTGTCATTAACATGTCTGAACATCTAGTACTAACAGTGCACAGAGACACAAGGATGATTTGCACATACACCTGAGCAGTCACTGAACTTCACCGTGTACTGTTTATTACCAAGTGAAACTGTTTAAACAGACACTGTGCTTAGTATAACTACCACATCTCAACTCAGCAGGATGCTAAAAACAAAGCTGTTTTGTGCATATATGTTAGCAGCCATGTCTCATCACTAAGAAGATTATATTAAAACAATAAACTAAATTTGTATATAATCTGAAGTAGCTTATTGCTTTTAACAAATATTTTAATTAAAAGCTCTATGGATGCAATATTAAAAATGAATGGCAACTTGAACTAACTTGAAATCCCTTAACTGACATTAAAATTAATTTTGTCATAATTCTTTCCAGGATTGTTCCCTAACTCCTTTTACAAAAGGAATGCACTGTCTGCAGGGGAGTGAAGTTTAGAGGTTAGACATAGCTGTTAACCCATGATTTTAAAACAAGCTTTTGAAACAAGGACATAATATTCTGGCTTTCTACAGTGTAGCTCCTTTTGTAATGGGAATTTGTGAAGTTAAAATGATTTAAAGCTATAAAAATGGTAAGATGAATTCATATGAGAAATTTTTTTGAGTGTTACGGATCACAATGTTACCACATCACAAAGGTTACGACACATAAGCAACAGTCACTTCTAAAAAATAATACCTACCAACTTGGTTATTTTTTATGTGAAATGTTAGCATGAAATTAATAGCACTGATTAAACATCTGCATCAAAAGATGAATATTTGTGCTTTCTTTTTTTTAGAATGAAGCTATGCTATTTGTTGCCAAAAGTTAAATCTACTCTGAAGATTCCCACTGATAAACATTTACTTCAGCAGTTGGAATTATGTATAAGGAAACTTCTGTGTCAAGAGAAAGACAAAGATGTCCTGACTATTGTAAAAAGAGTAAGCATTTTTCTTTTTCAGCAACATTTAGTCTTGGGGTTACCATTAAAAATTAAGATGATTGAAGTTGTGTTTCTGTTGACTTTTTTTTTGATGTTAGAACAAGAGATTAAATTTTCTAATGTCTGTTATGTAATTTTGAACAATTAAAAGATGATGTAGTATAGTGCATTCTGTGAAATTTAAGAGTGTTGGGGTTTCCTTGGTTACTTAAATTGCAGTTATTTTCTAGTGATTGAATTCAAGATTTTGGCTCAATGACTGTTTATGAAAAAATAGCAGATGACTAGAGATAGCATTAAATGTTGATCCTAGTAAAAATGATCAGGTCTTTGAGATAAAGATATGTTAATCTATATATTTTACAATATACACATAAAGCACTTAAAATCATAGAATCATCAAGGTTGGAGGAGACCTCTGATATCATCAAGTAAAACCATTAACCTGTCACTCTGCTGTAGCCCCTGAACCCTAAACCATATCCTCCAGCACCAGGTCCAGATGCCTCTTGAACACTTCCAGGGATGGTGGCTCCACCACCTCTCTGGGCAATCTGTTCCAGTGCCCAAACACCCTGACAGGGAAAACATTTTTCCTACCATCTATTCTGACTCTCCTCTGTCTCAACTCAAGGCCATTCCCTCCAGTCCTCTCCCTGCAGCCCTGGCAGGAGAGACATCCCCCACCTCTCTACAACCCCTGTCAGGTAGTTGTAGAGTGCCATGAGGTCACTCCTGAGACTCTTCTCAAGGCTAAACAAACCCAATTCCCTCAACCCTTCCTCACAGGACATGTTTTCCAGACCTTTTCTGAGCCCCATTGCCCTTGGCTGGAATCACTCCAGCACTTCAATGTCCTTTTAAAATCACTTGCAGGATTTTGAAATGTTACAAATGTCTCTGTAATGTGAATATTCAAAAAAAGTGCATCTTTAAGGGATGCCCATGCTTAGTCTTAAATTTAGAAACTGTGAAGTGAAATACCTAAAGTAGGTGACTTCCTCCCAGGGCCAGTCTGCAGGGCAGATTGGGTGAACACCTGTGTGGAGCATTCTGGGTTACCCACAGATTCCTGAGCTGGTTTTTTCAGTCTTGGTTCCTAAGCCTGTGCTTTAGCTGTTCTTGCTTCTGTGCTTTCCTTGAGTGTATTTTGAGTTCTCTGTAGATAATCTATGATTCTATTCATCGTGAGTCCCAGCAGGGCTCTGAGAATACTCTCTGACAGTTTTTAACTGCATTTGTAGCGTGAAAATAAAAGCATAGGCTTCAACTATTTAGGAAGAAAAGGCATATAATTTTGAATACCACTATTTGCAGCTTCTTATCTGGACAGTTTTTTTAGTTAAAAGTGTTGAGTAAGAATAAATAATGTTTTAATTTTCTTTCTAGACAGTGTTAGAACTGGACAGAATGGAGATCTCTGTAGATGCTGTAAGTACTAATTAGCTTTGCTACTTATCAAGCACTTTTAATTTCTATTTTCATGTAGTGATTTTTTTATTTTTATTGATTTTATTTTGAAGTTTCAGAAAAGATTTTACGAAAATGATTTATTGGATCAAGAAAAAGAGAGACAAGAGCATCTCCTTTTGGAAATGGTATATTTTATCAGTACACTGTGATTTTTTGGTAATAGTTTGTATCTAAATATCAATGAGGCAATAATTTAAAGGTAGGGGAAATGCATATTATGGAGAGACCTGGTAGATTCATAATTCATGTGTGGTTTCATTGTAGACTTTACAGTAGGGTTAAGTCCTTCAAAGTAAGATATAACATCCTTTTCTTTCCTGCCTAAAATTTATGTATCAATGAGAAAGGCAAACTGGAGTTCATTGAAAAACACCATATATATAATAAATTGATTCATGAAACACCTCAGAATTCATATACAGCTTCCCTAGGCAAAGAAATTAATGTCATATCTTCCTTTGTGCCAAGGAAGCCCAAGGAGGCTCTATGTGTTACAGGCTTTCCTGTAGCCAGAAAAATAAAAGAAATTAAAACAAAGCTGCAGTAAGCATTTCACCACGTAGCTTACATCTTCACCACATACTACATCTTCACAAAGCTTAGATTAGATCACTCCAGTGCTCTGTTCTGCTGCCTCCTCTGCAGCCTGAGGTGGGAGAAGCTAAGAAGCTGATAGGATTTAGAAGAATCCAAATTTCATTAGCATGGTTCTTCTGACTTGTAGTAAATGAACTTCTCCATAGTGAACCAGAACAGATTCAAGACTGTCCAAAAAATACCACTGTAGGTACTGCAGGTCTTATCTTGGGCAGCTTATATTCTCTGGTCACAATACCTGACTCATGTTCTTCCTGCCACCACCCATTAGCTCAAGCCCGAGGTGCAACTATTTCTCAGGACCTGCATGCACATATTCAAAGTCTTGAACGTGGCTTTAGCCATCTTAGAATCATAGAATCATCAAGGTCTTCATGTAGATTCAATCAATGCTTTTATAGTGGAAGCTTTTTGGGGCTGTGGAAAATATTCTCCGGTGTGCTCTGTGTTGTTGTGTATTGTATAACATTAATTTTTACCCAGTTACTACAGCTCTACTTTATAAGAATACCTGAATTTTTATGATATAGCCCATGGATATGGGCAAACCTTCTGTAGCAGAAAGGCCTCATTAAGCATTATCTGTGAGAGACAGGCCAGAGATGCACACAGGAAATTGTGACATGTTGCAGTCTCAAATAGATGAGGAGCCATTCAGCCCACTGAAATGGATCTGACTGCTAGAGATTTAATTACTGAATGTGCTAATAAGTTTCCTTAATTTTAGTAACTGACTTTGTCAAAACTATATTCCAGCAACCTTGACCTGAATTAATTACCTCTTTTTTTTTAAACTCTGGTAGTAATTAGAGTGGAATGAAAAAAAAAAGGAGTAGAGCAATTATGGTTTGCTTAACACTTTTTATCATGAAGACAGTACAGAAAATAAGCTAATACTATATAGCTGTTTGAAGTTGGCGTGATACCTATTCACAAGAATCCTGAAGCAAGTACTGACCTTTGAAGTTATTGATGCAGCTGTGTCAACACTTGTCTTCTGTCTATTGATGTGCTCTCAAAAGTGATTTTAAGGCTAGCTAATATTACAGGAAGGCATATGAATTCTATGAACCTGAACAATTTTGTATAGTTGGCTTTATTTTGCATAAAGATTATCCACTGCAGATGTTAATTTTAGATCTTTATAAAGTTTAAGTATATGCGACACACCATTTGACATAAACATTTTCACTAACTTGTGTGTTTGAAGTCAAAATATTGCCAGTTCTATTATCAGAGTATCTGTGTAATGCAAAAATTTTACATTGCCAGCTACCAAGTTCTGTATCTTTTTAAACTTTATAAAAACAAAGGTCAGGCATAATTTTAATAATGTTATAAATGTGAACTTCAACTCTGAGGTTTCCTCAGAATGTGATTTTTTTATGGGATATGTACCCTGAGTTCATTCTGTGCTATTTAATTAGTTCTCTGGATATTCACCAGGGGTTGTACTGCTAGTAGGACACAGTAGAAATTAACTGTTATTTTGGTGATTTGGAAGCCATCCCTACTTGAAACACAATTTATTTTTTTCTGAGTAATATCTAAGAGAATTATTCTTTTTTGTTTTTAGGAACAATTAGAAAAAGAGAAGCAGCAAAATGAAGGAAGATCTGCAAATATTAATGATAAAATGTTTGAAAAGAAGCGTAAGTTTGTTTATGTTATTGTGCGTGCATTACTTTTCTACAAAGGTAGAAGGGAAGGGAGCAGAAAAGGGACTTTGTGTACTAAAGAGAGTTTTAGAAAGTGGCAATAAAATTTGTTTCTATGTATTCCTAAAGTTATTTATGAAAACTGGCCTCCTTATATTAGAAGGAAAATGTTTGGCTTTATTAATAAAGTGCATTACAGTTTTATTCTCTGATATTTTTCATTTTGGGACCTGATGTAAGTACTTGTCTGTGGTATTTCTGAAGTGTTAGTAGCACTGAGTTAGATATTATTACTGTTTGTCCCAGGACTGTAATATGTTATGTCCTCTCTCGTATATAGATTTAAGCTTTAAGAGAGAAACGTTTCTAGTGGACTTTTTTTTTTTAGGTAGAGACAGTAAAACATCATCAGTGTTGGCAAAAAGTATCAATCTCTCTGTTCCTGGAAACTCTTCTGGTACATCAGCAGGTGAGAACTGTTTCAAAACTCTCCTGGAATGCTTTGATCTCACATCAGCATGTTCAACCCCAGCAAATCTGCTGTTGACATCTGTGGAACAAAGTTTCACCTACTGCACAGAGGAAAAGATTAAACTCCTAGAACTGAATCTCTTTTCTATGGTTTCTAGTTTTGTTTTATTCTGTAGTATATAAATATTGACCTAGGGTTTATTTTTGGTTTGTTTTTATTGAAGTATTTAAATCATTTCCTTCAGCTGAAACAGGTTGACAGAAAATTATATTTAAAAGTGTTCTTAGTTATCGAGGGAATCCAGTGATAGTCATATTAAAAAATGTTTGCTCTGTCTAATTTTAGGCAAAGAAGAAAAAAAATCCAAGTTGGTTCGAAGCCAGTCTTTCAGTACTCAAGCACTGCATCCAAAATACAGCAACATAGACAAGTGTCCTAAGTATCTGTATTATCTTCATTGCTTAACTCATAGGCAACTGTTAACTAATAGATAACTATGATGGAATTATATGCTCATGAGTCTGTGGAAGTAGTGAAGTGCTCACTGAATGGTGTCCTAAATTTTCAGCTTTCTGTTTAATTGATTAACTGTGGGAAGAAATACCATCTAGGGCATGCTGAAGCCTACAAATTGTTAGGAGCTCCTTTGAAGTTAATGTCACCTTTTGTCATATATTAAAAATAATTTTCAATGTGAAAAGCTAAATCTAAGTTCATAAATTTCTTAAATTTCAGCATCAAATTCGTAAAAGTCATAAAAAAACTGAAATTCATAAAAACTTTCTCGTGTAAGTTTTTTATATAGACTGAGAAATAACCTCCAGTATTACTAAACAGCAGGATGATACAATTGAGAGCAACACTCTGAAATAAGCAATTTGGTTTTGTTTTGTTTGTTGTTTTAAGTAAAAGTTCTGCTATTTCTTAAATTTCAGCATCAAATTCGTAAAAGTCATAAAAAAACTGAAATTCATAAAAACTTTCTCGTGTAAGTTTTTTATATAGACTGAGAAATAACCTCCAGTATTACTAAACAGCAGGATGATACAATTGAGAGCAACACTCTGAAATAAGCAATTTGGTTTTGTTTTGTTTGTTGTTTTAAGTAAAAGTTCTGCTACAGGATACATCAGTATCAGTTTTTTTGAAAGAGTTGTATGTTATCCTTTAGTGGTAAGTAGGTTATTATATTATATTTTGCTTCAGGATTTTGTGTGGGTGCTGAATGTGTGGGCCCAGTTAAACAGGCACATGTAAGATGTCATTCTTCTAAAGGAAGCAGAATAAGAGATCTCCAATATATTTGAGCATTTAAGTGCCTGTCTAATTAGTCTGTTTTTCAGATTCTTTTTTTTTTTCCTTATGCATTTGTTTAAAGTTGCTTTTAAAAGTAGTAAAAATAAAATTAGTTTGTTGTGTCCTGATTTGAATTTTGGATATCTCAGAAACATTGAGTTTGCAGTTTGCCAACACATATTTTGCTTGAGTAATATTGTGGATAATTTCTACTGAATCAGAAGAGAGAAAGTGCTGTTTGCACTTCTCTCCAGTTGATGCTGAAGAGTTTGGGTGATTAAAGATAAGACTGAGATGAATGCTTTCTAGAGGAACCTACCTTTCCATTCACTCCCAATAGACACTAGATGATTAACTGACATTAAATATCTAAATTTTAAGCAGCTAAAAATTGGCCAAATAAATCCTGCTATTTTCGTGCATTGAATGTGTTCATTTTTTCTTCCAAAAACATACTCTAATTATTTTTATTTAGTGTTTTTTTCCATTAAAATGCTTGAAGAAACATTGATACCATTCCTTTGAAATTTTGTGTTAGTGCCACAGGAAATATGCCACTATTGCCACAGGAAGAACAGCTCATTCTGTTTACTCTCTGTGTATTTTTTCCCAGTCAAAATCCTTTGTCTAAGCTGCAGCTCTTTATTTCAGATGATTCATTCCGGGCTCATTCTACTGGCAGTAGTGGGAATTCTGTTTTCCCTTCTAGTTCTTCTCGCAACTTATTTAACTCAACTGACCAAAAGAACAATGGGAATAAGGAGAGTCAGTCCCGAAAGATGAGCATGTAAGTGGCTGGCAAGAGGTTAAACCAAGAGTTTTCAAAGGGAATTAAAAGAGTCATGTAAAATTAAGCCTGTATTTATGATAGAGCAGCACTCAGATTTTGAACTACTGAAATAGCAGGGTAGAAATGTGATGTATGCAATTATAACTGTTTTTAAGATGGCATTACCTTCTAATTAGTCTTTCACATTGTTTCTGCTGCACATGTTTGCATTCAGGTGGTACATTATGGGGAGGGGAGAATGGGACAAAGTGAAGGTTAGTGCCTTTGATATGTAAAACTACAGTCATGGTGATTTAGCTGCCTGTAGTTGGAGAAATAGAATATAAGTATTTTTAGACTACTTAATTTTTCATTTTCGCACTTATAGATATGTTTGTGTATCATTATGTAACAATTTCATGATGAATTTTGAGACTTAGAATGAACTGATGCTGCTTCTTGGTATTAATGCTGCCTTCTTTGCCTTGCCTTAGTTGTTTAGATTAAAAAAACTCAATGCTAGGCATCTCCCTCAGGCTCATCTTCTTTACACAGCAGCCTCAACTGTTCAACGCTTTGCAAGAGCAAAATCAAAGATGTATTTGTTTGCTCCTGTGCTAAAACTGTAATTCTTAGAAAATGACTGTGACACATACTCAAATCTCTGTAGACTCTGGCAGCAAAGTCCCTGCAGATTTCTTCTACACTTTAACTTGTAGCAAGCTCTAAATTACTATCATTGGATCAGCTGTAATTTTGGGTGCTTAAACTGAGTCTCTTCTGTGCTAGCAGAGATTTGCATTCCTAGCCAAGGCAGAAGAGAGAAAGGAAGAGAATCACCTATAGCAGGAAGGGGAGGCTGTTTGGGAAAAGACACTTAAGTGTAATAGGAACTGCAACTAAAAGCTAAGATTGGAATGAGGAAACACCTTACACTGTTTTGCCAGGTGTAAAGAGGAAACAATAGTGTTATCCTTTCAATAGTCTTTTTTTTTGTGAATTAAGTATCGGTATGAACATATTTTTCTACTTCAGTATTTTCAGATTCCTTGAGAAAACAAACCAGAACATCTCCTCAACTTTACTCACAGTTTTAAATTAATAAAATTCCTAAATTGTGAAATAAAACACTCAAAAGTTTAGCAAACATAGAAGAAGTTCTCTGAACAGCATTCATTCAGCTACTTGCATACTTGATTTTTTTCTTCTGGAGTTTTACAATCTTCACTGTATCAGATGCAATTTTTTTCTGGAATGAACTTAAGCTTGCACAGTGACCTATTGCTTTTAAACTTGATTTTCTTTGTATAAAAGGTTGGAAGGTAAGTAAGTAGTGAATGAAGATGGACTGTTTGTGTTGAGTAAGTGGTTTCACAGTAGTAGTACCTTAAGGTGCTGAGTAACTTGTGCTCTCTCCCTGTGTTTGCCAGTGTTTAATGCCTCCTCCTTAATAACACCCACAGTACTTCAGACTTTATAGGGGATCATTAGGTGGTCACTTATTTTAAAGTGCATCATTTCAAACTCAATAGTTAGGTTAGTAGACATGCTGACATTGCCAGCTATCTATAAAGTAAGTGGGAAATGTACCTTGAGTACATCAAACATCATACAGTGCTATGTAGTTTCAAAAATTAGGTGTGCTCAAAACCTCATGTTCTTCCACTCTAATGCCTCTGTTCCTTCACTTTAAAACCACCAAATTTGTTCAAATGTTGTAACTTTTTTTAGCAATCATTGTAGAAATTCCAATTACTCCTCTGTCTCACAAGGATTTGAGGAAAATAAATGGATTTTCACAAAGCAGTGAGGTGCAAAGGTTAGTTAGACATATTTTTTACATCACATAAAACTTTTCCAAGTTTCAAAGGTTCTTTTATTTGTCACTTAAAATAAAACTGATATCTTTTTTTTGAAAACAAAGGGACAGAAGCAGGTGCAGAGCACTTTTCACCTTTGTCTTCAGGCAGGAGAGTGGAATGCAAGAGAGTCACCTTCAAGTCTCAAATTGTTCCCAAATGGATGCCTTAACAGCTGAGAATTTGAAAGTAGGTATCTGTTGAAACACAGAGATCTGGATGCTTTCTCTGGTTCAGAAAATCCCTAAACTGCATAGTGTCAGAAGCCAAGGGGATATACCAGGGGAAGAAAAACATTTTTGGAGAAAGAAGGAGGCTTAGAGTGGCCTACTTTTAATTCTGAATCAGAGTTTTAATGTTCTGTGTTCTTATGGGAAAACACATCTCTCATGTTGGTATAATGTCTGCTGCGCTGCAGATTCAATTTCTCTTCGGTAATCTGGCCCAATACTTAATTGTTTTCATAAGAAAATGGAGCAACTCTGTAAGGAGATATTAAGAGATACAGATACAGGAGTGTTTGGCAGTAGATGTATTCAGGAAGTCAGTCCTAGTGCTAAATATACACATATGCAAAGCATAAGTTTCAAGGAAACATTATTTTCTAAGTTGAATGATGGAAAAAGTTGATGTGCAAATATATAAGCAGTTGACAGAAATGACTCTGACTGAAAGAAGAATTTGAAAATTGTGCAGTGAGAGGTGCAATTGAATAGATGCTCATGAATGACTGTCATCTTCAGTGGACTCACTAAGGCAGAAAACTTGTGAGAAAGTAATAATTGAGTATATATTTAGACTCTATCATCATGTAAATTTACATATGTGCTGCTTAAACTTTGCACCAACCATCTCATCTTAATTCTGGCAAGCCCTAGTAGCTTTTAGTTTGTTGGCTCTGCAGCTTAAGTAAGGTAACTTCTACTATGTTTCTTTTTTATAAGTAATTATGTGCATTATATGGGCAGTAGCATGTTGTTTAAACTATAAACAGATACAATTAATGATTCTTAGTTCAAATTGATGTGTGTTTGTACAAAATATTATTCAATACCTTAAGTGTAATGTTTTCCATAAAATTGCTCTAGTGAAAATTGGCAAATGTTCACTTTTGACAATATAGAGCAGTTTGCAGGGATGAAGAATTTCTGATTTCATATATCATAGAATCATAGAGTCATCAAGGGTGGAGGAGACCTCTGAGATCATCGAGTCCAATCATTAGCTTGTCACTCTGCTGTAAGCCCTAAACCCTAAGCCATATCCTCCAGCATCAGATCCAGATGTCTCTTAAACACTTCCAGGGATGGTGACTCCACCACCTCCCTGGGCAATCAATTCCAGTGCCTGACCAATTCATGGTAATGCTCCAGAACTTTTTCAAAACTCAGAGTTACTTTGGTGGAAAACCCCAGTCTTTACTTGCCATATGAATTCAAACATTTGGTTTGTCCCATTTCAGGTGTGTGTGCCAATTAAAATATTCTTTCATTTTGCAAATAATAAAGATGCAAGAAAAAACAGGTCAGTAAATCCTGACCCAGTGCTCACAAGCAGGTGACAAGAAAGTGACCATTAGCATTGATGTCATTTGCTAGACCTTAGGCAAAACTCAGGCAATAGAAAATGCGAGAGTTATGCTGAAGATGCACCAACATAACTTAATGGTGGAATCACAAAAGAGATTAATACCTGCTTGAAATGCCTTATGAATAGGAAAGAATCACAGAGAGCACTGGTTGAGTACTTTGTCCCACAAGAGATCTTAAATCAGTTTGCAGAGCAGATGTGCTTTTCTGACTTTTCTGTTGAAGAGTTGCCAGTGAGATGATGAATCATCATAGTGCAGACATTGACATGATTCATGAACACTGCATTCTATCAATCTCATCTTGCATCATTATGCTATGTAGCTTTATTATATTATTCCTAATGTTTTCAGCTTTATGAGATTAAGATAGGTATAAGCTGTTTTGCTTGAGTTTACATGGCTGTAATATGACTGATTGCAATAAACAGTTGCAATTAAACAATATGCAATTGTTTAAAACTATTTAGAGATGTCATAGATTCATCAATAAAAATATCCCCTTTATGGACAGCATTTAGGCATTTTGCATCTTGCCTACAGACATACAGACAGTGCCTGATTTTATTTCACTCTCAGTCAAAACTTCCATCAAGAATGAGTGGTACAGGTTTCCCATCCTGTAAAAAGTGGGAGTAGATTTATTGTTGCATAGAAATTAATTTTTTTGTGATAAATCGATATCATTATTTTATAAGACATCCACAACTGATCTGTAAGATATCCAATTTGCTGTGTGACCATGTCATAATAATTATATGTGTAAGTATATTAAAGTAGTGTCTTTCACCCAGTCATGTAATTGTTACTTAGGAAGTTGAGCACAAGATGAAGTAGTTCTGCAATGGATCTACTACACTTTGAGTTGGTTACTTATGGCTTCTAATCATGTTTTCATCCTGATGTTTAAGGTGCTAGGAGTTCTGGGTGGGAATGTTTGTGTCCTATTTCTATGATGAAGCTAATAGGTGTCCTGACAACTGATACTTTGTAATAGTTTATAACTGTTTTGAAATATCCATCAGTTTTAAAAGGGTGAAACAGGCCAATATATTATTTGTCTTATTTGTAAATGATAGCTTAAAATACTGATGCAAATTAATATTTCCACAGAGTTAAGCCCTGTTATTTGAAATATTTCTGACCAATACAAGCAGTTGTTAATTGCAGTAGCTACAACTTTGTGAAGCTGAAAAACAGTATATTTAAAGATTAAAAAATGAAGGCATGAGAAGTCCAGAAATTGCCCAAATGGCATTGTGGTCATGCTCGAAATCATACCATAAAGAGCTCTTAGTTTCTTTCTCATCCCCATGTCCACTTTGCCCAGATTTTATCATGGTTCAAGCTGGAGATGTCTGGCACTAGTAGTAGCCATGAGTAAACTGCTCATACTGCCTTAACCATCTCACTCAGGTGGATCTCTGCAGGACCTTCTGTAGCCAGCCTAGTGGAGAACTTCATCCTCCTTGTGTGGAATGCAGAATGTTTCTGTCTGGCTTTGCAGTGGGTGCAGTAGAACAGCTAGAAATTTTTAAAGTACAGCAGCAAAGAGTTATGTTAAAACATTGCACACAATAGCTGTTTATTCTGTTATGTTATTTAATAATATATCAACAACATATTATATGTGTTTCTTCTTTTATTTGAAGCAAAAACAGAAAATCAAACTCCTAGATCATCTGACAGCCAAAAAGAGGGAACCAGAGACTGGTGGAAGCAACATTTGGGTGAGATAAGGTGGGAGCAGCAGATGGGACTCTCTGATGCCTGGAATGAATAAAATGCATCCTGCAATGTTCAAACTTCTAAATAAATCTTTTAAATAAAATTCCAAGCTGTAAAATATGTTCTGATAAACAATGTTAACAGTTGCAGAATTCTAATGTCGTAGTGAAATGATATGAAATATAACTTTGGCTATGTGCTCTTAACTGCTGCAGCTAAAGAGAAGATTTTGTTTTCTTCAATTATGCCTTTGTAGTTCCAGTTCTTGGATTTAGAATGCACATACCCATTATTTAATTGGCTTATTTACAATTTTAGCAACTCTTAGCACCCATGTTTTATGCAAGAAATAGAAGAATTGTTATGAATATTAAAAAGTTATCCCACATTTTAAAGAATCTGCAAACCTTATTTAAGACCAAAGTCCAGGACCATTGATCAGTCTATAAAAACCCACAAACTTTTGTAGCATTGTGCTGTGAATTTGGAGTTAATGTTTTTACAAGTACTAAGTTCATGAAAACCCTGTGTAAGCTTCAAAAGGACCTAAAAGCAAATGTCTCCAGATGATGTAAAAAGAAAATTTTATTTCATGAGCTTTGTTGTATAAATACTTGTTTTAATTTTTAGTATTTCAGATTGTATTTTCACTTGAATAATTTATAATAACGAATCTAGTTTTTAATCAGCTGCTATTGCAAGCTGTCCTGGTTCAGTGATGTCATCTGCATTTGTTTATATCAATGCTAATGTTTCTATCCAAATTTGTCCGTGGAAAAACATGCAATCCTATTTTAAAAAGTTCTATTTATGCCAGTACTCGAGAGAGAGCCTATGAAGCTATTGTCAGCTTCTCTGTTTCAAAATGGAGGCAGCATAAACACATTGATAACAGAAATATGTGGTTTTTAAAATTCACTGGTGTATGATAAAGATGATCTGATCTGTGAATGCATATGCGTGCGTGGTCACTTTTTATAATATAAAAATATGTATGATGACTTAAAATAAAACCTAGGACAATGCTGTACATGCATGTTCTTAACAAAAAAAGATTTCTCAGGGCATCTTTTATAATTAAAATAAATAAAACCATTTACCTATAGAGGGTATTTCTTATAAACAGTAATAATACTGGATGTATTCTGTCTTGTGTGAAGTACAAAATGTGTCTTTGGATTTAGCAGTATTTCTTTGTCTTGAGTTCTTAATCTTCTGACAGCACAGTTGGATTTAGCTGTGTTCTCTGCCTTAAGTCACAGGCATTGTTTGAGTTCTGTGGAAGCACCTAAGTTTTCAGTGTGTTCTGCAGCCTGGTGTAGGATCCTGTAAATCACAGATTCCTTTGAAAGCTTCTTCCAGAGTTAATGATGTTTAACATGCATTATTGATACAGATATACAGATGACCTATGCTGGCTCTTCCTTGGTTCTGCTTTTGTCGCATTAATGAAAACAGATACCCCCAGTTTCCCAGAGACAACTAAGCCAATGTGCCCAGCTACAGCTGCTCACCCACGGGCCACAGGAGGCTGCTCAGTGTGTTCTCAGTCTGACTTCTGCCAGGCACCCAACTCTGATCAGCACTAGTGAGCTGCAGAACAGGACTCAGAACTGTGTCTGACCTTTTGATGCTTTTATTAGGGCAATGCAGAACAGCCAGTGAGTTCAGAAACTTGAATCCAAGCACTTTCTCCACTTAAGTGTGTAATGATGCAGTCTGTCCTTGGCTGCCATTTGTCTGTCATTCTTAATTGATTAATTTATTTAATGCCAGTAACATGTGCTCCACTCAGTAACCCTGTTATATATTAAGTTCCTGCTATGTAATCTTTAAATGCTCTATTTAGACATTTTTGGACTGGACATTTTCCCTGTGCAGTACCTCTGGTGAGTACTTTCATTAGTCCTTCACATTACAGACCTGCAGTTTCTCTTGGCAGTACTCTGGGTTGGTTCTCTTGAACAGCACCAGTAAGTTTGAACCCTTCAGAGCATTGTTTTTACCTACTGGTCAACTCTGGGTCCAGAATAACAGCTGAAGGTCAACTGTACAGTGCAATCAGGTGGTTCTCATATAGACCAGTGGCAGGAAGGAGTGATTCTCTTTCCAAGTACATTCATACTGCAATGTGTAGTTAGGTTAGATGCACCTTCATTGTCTAGTCAGATACCAGTGCCTGCCTGCTAAATCCCTTTGTCAGAGGCTTGCACCAGTGTCTGGGGTGTTGTGGGCAGACACCTAATGGTAACTGAGGTGATTTTCAAGGTTTGCCAGCTTTATCCTGTGAGGTATCTTCTGTATCTTCTCTCACAGATGCATCTGTCTATGTGTGTTTACTGACAGGCACCTTTGAAGCTCCTTGCCAAGTGATTTTGGAAACTTTTCTGGCCCCTTTTGGCCAACTGTTTTGTGAAAGTTGTATGAGCAAGCAGAGTAAGGCTTGGATCTGTTAGTTATATAAAGCTAGAAGTTGCTTTTTGTGTTGTTTCACAGTTTGTATGTAGGATTCTGCTAGTTGAAATTACTAAGTGTTTAGATCTCGCCACTCTGATGGAATCACTGCTCTGCTTGAATAAAGTTAATTGCATTTTGATTATGGAAATATTTTTCTGAGACATTTTGGCAATACCTTTTGGATTATAGGATCAACTCTGTGAAAAGAGTTGTTTCACTTTTACGGAGGGATGTTTTTTCCTCCCAAAGTGTGTCTTGGTTCGGGCATAGAGTCCTGTTACATAGTTCACCCTGATGTCTAGATGATATTACAGGCTGAAATTTTGGTTTTAGGAGAGGCCCAGTTTGGTGTTATGTAGTGGTATAGGTTGAGATTTTCCAGATTCAGGACACCTAAGTTATTTTTCAGAATAAGTTTGGGTTTAATTCAAGATTATTTTAAAAGCAGGCACATCATGTACCCTGAGAAAATGAGGTGATTTGATACTCTGAATAAACACTTTGAAAGAGGTCACACTCACAGACAATGCAGATTTCATGATAGACTCAGTGCAATTTCTACAGTAATAAAATAGACAAAGACTATAAATTATATTTTAGAGCTTGATATTACTTCTGTTTTTATAAGTGACAAAATTCTACTAATATAGAGGTCACTAGGCTCTCTGCAAGAGAAGATAATATTGAGGAACCTGCAGTGTTTAGTAATGAGCTTCCTGAATATTTTGGCATATGAATCTCTGGAGATTTTTATTCAGACTTGTGACTAAAATACTGAATTTTGAAAGTTCAGTTCGGTGTTTGTTGGGGTTTCTTAATTTCAAAGGTAGATTTTGCAAGTCGCATTTTTGTCAGTTTGAGCCTTAGTGAATTTAACTTGTTACTTGGCATTAATAAAATATTGCTAGGGTGACCTAGTGCTATCTGGAGAGACAAAACAGGTTTTCACATTTCATAATTCACTTTCATTTGCAATATAAATTATTAAAATAGAAATAAAGCCTCTTACATACCAAAGAATAGAAACTGTTACCTTTATTCACATCTCTGTTGGATCAACAACCCTACCAATGAACAGTAATGTTTTAAAAGTTTCTTCAAAAATCATGAAAAGGAACGGTCTGTCCACTTTGATGACAGGAGGCACTGTGAATGCAGTTATTTCTGAGCCACTGGCTGCTGCAGCCTCAGTTCCTTCTTCATCCACTTCAATTACTGCCTTTTGGACAACCTGAAGTGCAATGTAGAAATAAAATGTGTGACAGAAAAAATATTAAGATGAATATTTTTCCAAGTGAAGGCATTCAGTTGAAGTAGGCTTCTGTTAAGGATTAAAAGGAGTAGGTCAGTGCTGTCTAACTGTTAGACTTGTAGACACATTTGCTGTCTGATTCAGCAGCAGAGGAGTTAGCACAGCCACCGTGACCACAGTACCCACAGTGGGGATGCTAGTTCAGGAGTCATTGGGTTCTTCCGTGTTTATGAGCATAAACCTCACTTAGAGATGAAGATATTTTGTTCTTGCAGTACCATGAAGCAACCACTGCATTTCCATAGTGCTTTTCTTTGACACCTAACTGTGCAAGGGAGAGTTTCTCCAAAGTAGGAAGTGTCACAGGGAGAGTTTCTCCAAAGTAGGAAGTGTGTTTTCATCAGTCACGAACACTGGCTGGATATGTAATTCACAGTTGATTTTGTGAGAACTTAGAGAAATGCGCCAGTCTTGGCACCAATTTTCCTGTATATTTCTAATTTGTACATTTGGTAGCACAGATTAAATATGTACAGCAATTAGGTACATTCCTGGATTGATTTGAGAGCCTTCCCTTCCCACTGAAATTGCAGCCCAGCAGAATCTGATTCTTTTCCATTTTTGTTCTTTCAACCTGCGTGTAGCTCTGAGTGTTTCTTCTGTTTGGGTCTGTGTTGGTAAACTGCCTGGTCAGCTAGTGCATTTCTAACTCCCAAACTCCTAATTCTAGGAATTACTTACGTGAAGACAGTTAAAGGAATTTGCCAGTGTTGAGTTCCCTGCTAAACATGCTTAAATAATGAAGTTAACTTTCATGATTCACAGGGACAGGCTGCTCCTCTGGCACTTTGTAGCTGATACACATATTGCTTCTAATATCAGTTAGCAGCTACTGTTAGTATGATTTTTTTTTCAGAACACAATAGAGTTAACTGCTGAGAATCAGTGTGAAAGTTGCATGATCAAGAGGAAGGGAGAAAAGTGCTGCAGATAGCCGCTGTGTTTCCCAACAGTGAAATAGTTTATACCAAACTGAAAATTACTGGAATTTTATCCATTAAATATTTATTCTTAGGATGCTGTATTTTCCCAGAAAGGTGGTTTTGTTAAGCCGGCACAATTTTGAAAACCTGTAGATTTTTGAAACTTGTATAGGAGTGTTTATATCACCTCATTAGCAGTTCAGGCAAATCACAATCGCCTCTGTAAGGATTTGGTGTAGGAGACTTGTAACAGCAGC